TATGTTACAGACCTGCATTTAAAAAAAAAAAAAAAAAAAGGAAATCGACATTCAGAGAAAGAAATGAGAGAAAGATGGGTGGAAAAAAGTAAGCCTAAGATGTGGTCTTGACCAACCTCCAGCGGAAGGTAGGTGTGTTTCTGCTCCTGACCAACTTGTAAACATGGGAGATGTGGATATCGCAGCACCAGTTTGTACTTATCCTTGAAGTACTGGGCAACAGTGCATTCAATGGTCTGACCATTCTCTTGCTGCAAAGGAAACCTGGAGACAAGCAAAATAAATTTTTAAAGCATTGACCTTTAACGCTGCGTCATCCAAATGAGGAATATAAAATGCATTGGCATTCATACAGAAAGAGCTCCAGCCATTTAAAACATCTTACGTTTGATGGCTGGCTGGTCTCCTAGTCACATTACAAACCCTGTATTTTCTCTTCATCTGTCCACAATGAGTGATTTCAACCTTCAGACCTGATACGTAAAAAAAAAAAAAAATCAGTGTTCAAAAATTAAATCCATAAAAATCATTAGGGATGGCATTAATTACTGTAATGAATTACCTTTGATTTCCTTGGTAAACTTCACTCTCTGGGAATCTGTTAAGGGCTTCTGTTGCTCTTCGATGCTTTTAAAATCCAAAACCTCACACATGAACTCAATCACAGGTTGAGCTTTGTAGAATGCAGTGGCAGACACTAAATATAAATATTACAAAACAAAGATTTGTATAAGAAAGTTTCAAGAAACATTTATTAATTCAAATGATGTCAGTGCACACTGACCATCAATGTTGAGCATCATCTTCCAGAGGGATGGTCGCACAGACTGATGGAAGCCAAACCAAACTTCTCTTCCTCCACCGAGGGGGTTGGAGCAGCCCTCAGAGGGAGTAAAGAATGAACGTCCGACTGGAGTGTACCTGCAGACACAACAATAACATGTGTTAAAACAGAAGGATTTTGGAAGGATGAAGTATGAGGCCCCCTAATAGTGATATATGGAAAACAGTGTCAACAAAACACAGCCATTAACCTCATAGAGGGCAAATGTCTCATGACAACGTCCAGAGCCTGAATAGTCTCAAAGGGGATGTTTGGTAGCCGTCCAGACAGTGCTTCCTGTAGAGCTTGCAGACTCACACAGGACACCCATTTTATAGCTACTTTAAAGCTCCTGTCTTTTCCCTCCCCTGGAATTGTGACCTCCAGCTCTACCTAAAAGAACAGTTTGGGACATCAGTATGATGTGACACTCCATAAAATGTAAAAAGACTTCAATAAAGCATTTTGAGTAGGTGCAGAGTAAAACATATTTCAGTGACTGCTCTATCAAATGTGAACATCACAAAGCCAACACAGATTTATTATTACTTTACTAGTGCATACTTTGTCTCTTCCAATGGGTAAAGGCATGGCAGTGTAGAGATTCTTCCTTCCATCATACACAGGCTTTCGATCTCCAAAGATCTGCGTCTTAAAGTGCTGGACCATGTGCTCAACGATTTCACTACAAAAAAAAACGTAAGTATAAATTTCTTCCCAAACAAAGAGTTGAAATTTCAAGTTTCAGTCAAAAGATGTTACCGGTTAACTCTCCGTGGGCATTTCTCAGGCTTGATGTCTATGTCGTAATGGTACACCTCCAACTTGGGTATTTCCATTTCAAAGAAGTTAGCCTGAAGTTTGATTGTCCTACCCATTGTGCCAAAGTCTGGCCGTTGAGGTGGTTTGAAGACATACTCTTGTGCTGGAGGAGACAGGGGAGCTATGGGACACACACAAACAATTTTACATTTTTTTTTAACATAAATTAGAAACATTACCTTTTTTGGACCATGTCTATTATTTTAAGCTAGAAATGTCCATTTTTAGTTCAGTGGACCTCTGAGCAACTTAAACCTATTAATTAGGCCCACACAAACATTTAGGTAAGACTATTAGAGCTCTGCTGTGCCACAAACTCAAGCACCCCACCTTACATAACATCTTCATTTACCTATATAGAAACTAACTGGTCAGCTTTAGTTTGAAAAGTTACTTACTTGCTATCAACTTCATTTTTGCTTAACTGTATCGAAAAGCAATATCTCACACTGTTGTACTGAATATTAATAATTTATAGTAATTTTCTGCCAGGACATCATTAATTTTTACAAACATTTCTGTTAATCCTAAAACACAACGCACTTAAGTGCAAAATTTAAAATACAGCTTAAACACCTGTAAACAAAAAAATACATACGGAAATTTCCTTAAAGTCCCCCTGTGGTGAAAATCAAGTTTTTTATGTTGTTTATTTGTCTATGTGTTGTTTTTAATATGCTTTTAGACAAACCATGTGCCAATCCATTTATCAACACCTTTGTGGAGTATTTTCTCCTTAAAACTGTAGTTTCCCAAAGGCAGTCACAGAAACGCGGTTTGAAACAGCCTGTTTTGCTACGTCACAAAACTCAATAACCAATCGCGTCAAGGGATCCTATCCTTAGCATATCATTAACTGTGCTGCAAAGCAGAGGGTCTAGTGAGAAGGCAGCCAGGTTAATCCGGTAACAGTTATATTTTTTCAGTAGATGTTTCGCCAACTGTTAATACTAAAACTAATCAATTCTCTTTCCGGCTCAGACTGCATTGGTTAAAGCTTATGGGGCTGTCACGTGATGAACAAACGACTCAAACCAGAAGACTTGTCAGATAAGAGGTGAGGTGAGCTAATCATAGATTGAAGACCCAGGTAAACAATAAATTAATCTTTTCTGTTTCTTATAGCATTATAGTTTTGTATTGTTTGTAGTGTGATCAACGTTTGCGTAAGTAGTAGACTTGTTAGGGAAGTAACACAACATTTTAATAGATCCGAACTTCCCATCACTATCTCCTTGCTTACGTTGAGCATACCAGCTTATTTCTGGTTCAAACACATATGGCTTAAACCAATATTTCCACTTGTCATTGCATCGCGTTTACTACAGTTCAGGAGGCGCTGGCTCATGGCTGGCTGCTGTGTGACTGAGTGGAGGCGGGGCTAATTTGCGTATTCATAGATCCGCTTGCATTCAAGCTATTTTAAGGCATGAGAAAATTATTTTCACAAGGAAAAAAAATTTAAATATGTAATTTTTATGATCAAAGATGAGTTTTAAAGGATACAATTTTTGACTACAGGGGGACTTTAAAATAAATATGGTATATTGTGCCCTATTTTTTCGGATTATTTTTTCACAGTATGTGATACTGTAAGTAATAAACCTCATCTACTACTGTACTAACTTACCCAATCAGCAACTGGAAAATGAAAAATACTAAGCAATACCGAAGGTTTTAGAGAAAAAGTGTCAAAACAAAGCTCTTAACAGTAAATTAAGTTTCAAGACAATCATTCATTTGGTGTAAAGCTTTAATTAAACATTTCAAGCAACTTGATAAACAGTACTGAATATATATGCTAGGCTTTCAACAGGCCAGCTTAGTCTGGGCTGCTTACCAGAAACATCTGACCCTGTAGACTGCTGTCCCTGACACAGCTCAGCAGCTATAAAAGACACAATAACTGGTTTATTTCAAACAAACCTCTACATTAGTGATCATGTGCAGAACATATGTAAAATCATGAAAATACAGCCATATAACTTGAAAACAGGTTCAGTGCAAAGCCAGATTAGCACTGTAAAATTACAATTCAATTATAAGATCAAATGAAAGCAATTGATTTTATATCTGACAGATTTAGTTGATTACAAATGTCTAGCATACAATAAAACTGGGACACACAGGGTTGTTGATTTGGGAGAAAAAACAGGCCAAGTTAATGCGACAGTGTTAAATGTGTGAAAAACATTCAATGTACAAGAAGGCTGTGCATCTGAAGTCTTTTACTGACAGATTCCATGAACTGTCTCACCCCATTGTATCAACCCTAAAAACATGGCAAGAAGATACTAGGGACATGAACCCATCCCACTGGGCAACAGGCCTTTTACCTCCTTATCACCAACACCACACAAGCAACTCAACCTGCCAAACTCTCCCACACACTCAAGTACCAGGATGTCTTTTCTTTGAACTACAGCAACTGCTTTTCTTTATATCACCATTTCAGATGCCTCACACATATCAACAAGACATAATACGACAAACTCATCACTTTATGAAACCTAAGTGGTAACACTTTACAATAAGGTCCCATTCTTTAAAATTTGCTAACATAAATTAACAACTACAAGTATTTTTTACAGCATTCCTTAATGTTTGTTAATAAAACACAACAGTGCAATAACTAATGTTAACAAATTCAACTTGATTTTAAAACTATATTAGGAGGACGTTAAAATTAACTTCGACTAAGAATAATAAATGCTGTAGAAGCAGTGTTCATTTTAAGTTCATGTTTACTAATGCAGAAAACTAATGTTAACAAAAGGTCCCTTGATGTAAGTTTATGACTTGAACAAGTTTTGTAGTTTTACGGTCTCTTAAAATGTGTGAACTGCGTTTTTAAAAGTTTCAATACTTTTCTGAAATGTAATGAGGATACATAACACACTAAAATTACCTCTCATAAACTCTTACACTAACAACAACAATTTTGCATTCATAATTTGGGTAGACACAGTCAACTTTAGCTGAACATCGCGACTGTGCAAATATATAACAAATCGACCGAAACCATTTGCAAAATTTGGAAGCAGAATAATTAACAATTTATTAACTAGAACTTTAGTTAGTAACTTTCAGTACCTGGTTAACTGGAGAAAGTCAAACTGGTGCCAAACTACCAACGTTAAAACGTCTAAAACGCACATAAAACAATTAGACCGAAACCTCTAAACTGCGCCAATATCTCCAAACCTAAAATAGTTAGAAAGTACGTGCTGTTAACGTTTTTAAGATTGACGGGCATAGGAGTTTAACAAGCGGCTGTAAATTCAAAAGCCAGCAGGTCAATAAGCTTAGCTAGCAAGCTAACAACAACAATGGGCCTACAAAACAAACCATCGACAGAGATGGAAAATAAGACTAAAGTACTATAAGCTAAAAATAAATATTTGAACACTGGTGTCATGTGCAACCAAACAATATTAAACTACATTTTTATCTTTAACAAAAACCCCACTTATTCAGCTAGCATCTCGTCGCTAGCACGCTCGCTAATCATAATACTCACCACCAGCTGCTCCAACGGGATACATTTTAAACGCTTTCTGCACCACAATTCAATCGCAGATCGATACCTTTTGTTTTTCTGATGCCACTTAACGCATGCGGTAACGGGAAAGATGAATTTTATTTTAAAACAGCATCGATATAAAGGAGAAAAGTGAGAATAATGAGCGCGCTGAGTTAGGGGAGCACAAGAGCTCTGAGTGGCCCCATCCCATCCCCCTCGCCACACGAGCGCCTATTTACCCGACACTCGCACTCTCACTGCTTCAAAGCGCAAGCACATAGACGCATTTATGTGAGCTTTCTCCCGCGTCGCCTTATGTTTTATTTAATGTATTTATTCAAATGTTCCAAAAGCAGTATCAAAACATTCGTTAAATTTAATTTAACAACGTCTAAATAAAACTGGTGGTCATGGTACGTCATTTCCGGCTTTGTTTAGAGAATATTTAAAAACAAATATTTAGTGGCATATATGAAAAGTTTTTTTTTTTTTAAGTTTTGTAAATTTGCAAAAACAAATTTATTTTGTTATATTTATTGTATATGTTTTTTTTTTCTTTCTCGCAGTTGTGTTATTCTGTTGTATCACACAATGTAATTTGTGGATTTATTAACTTATCATCTTTTATTAATAAGGCTGGGCAGTGTCAGAAACACATTTTAAATAGGGGAAATTTGTTTCACAAAACAATGACACAAAATTTGTCATTTTTTTCTGACCCCGAGGGTGGGTTTTTGTCATTTGATTAAGCATTCAAATATTAGGCTATTTTAAATATTCTTATACATAAAATATACTTAATTAACTATGGAGACCAAACTATTGAGGTTGGAAACATTTGCTTTACACCAATGAATTTTTAATGTGTAAATTGGATTTATTTACTTTTTTTTTTTTTGGTTGTACCATACTCCTTCAAACATTTTTTGGTCAAACATAATTCATTAGATTGTACAGAATCATTAGGCCTATTGTTTAATCGTATGATCAGTCAAGGGTATTAAACCTTAAACCACTAACCACTGATTTCTTACTAGACTGTCAGTTTGTCAGGTTAGACATTTTTCCTCATCATTTAGGCCTATGGCTAGTCAACACCTGCATCAATGCACTGTTACAGGGGCCATTGTCTTGTTTGAAGATGGATAACAGATGTAAAGAAACTCGGACTACCATGAGTTTATTGATTTATCTCCACTTGGTGGCACCATTTCACCACTGTTGCTGACTACCTCACTGAACGCTTGCTAGACAATGATTTTCACTAACATTTAAGGAACAATAATAGTACAAACTAGCAAAATTTTGAGTCGTTAAATTATATTGCACAGATTTGTGTCATTATCATGAAATCAGGCACACTCATGCTATAAGTAGGCCTTTTCATGTATTGCTGCCATAAATAATTCTCAAGCAGCCGCTGCTGACACAGATGGACATATAGATCAAATCATATGATTTGATTTAGTGTTTAATGGTAAATTATTGTAATCTGAAAATAAGAGCATATTCTGGTTACAAATATGCAAATTAATATGTAGATTAACAGACGAATATCCTATACAAACACACACAAAACTGTTTAATCCGTAGAACGTCTGAGAGGATATAACTAAACAAAACAATATCTGTAGGCTATATGTAATTATATCTGCCTTTAAAGTACTGTGTTCCAAACATATTTAAGGAATCAGACATTTTTGCTACATGGTGAGAGGAAGATTTACATGGAATAGACCAGCAGCCGACTTCTTTACGTCCAGTGAAGGATTTATATCAAATAATAATCCATTTCCCTTTCAATTTGTTTGTAAACATACCATAAATACCTCTATTAAGTTTTTTGTTCTTCTGAAACTGGTTGAACGAGTTGGGGAGTAACTGCTGCGCTCTTTGGCCAATGGCACTAGATCCTCCCTGCAGTGCGTAACAGCGCAATTTAGGATTTAACCAAGTCTTTGCTGCGGGGCTTAAAGCAGTCTTCAAGAGAGACGCTTGCACACACAATGTTAGTGTAGACTCTGTGGACCCCTATAGAGTTAGGCTGCCTTTTTACGTTGTCTTATCCAAACTATGACTGGAGTATTCGACAGAAGGATTCAGAGTATTAAACCTGCAGATTTTCTAAACCCTTTTCAGCTCTCCACGATGCATCATCCATCTCAGGAATCTCCAACCCTACCGGAGTCGACAGCCACGGATTCTGGCTATTACAGCCCTTTTAAAGGAGTGTATTTGGTGGTTAGGCCTACTATTAACCTATTATTCGCTAATTCCAAATAAATAAATAGTTTTTAGATTGTTTTTTTTAAGTTAGTAGGACTGAATATTTGATCTTCGTCTTGATTAAAACCACCCCTGACGAACGAAAAATTTAGTCTGGCAAACAGTGTGCTCTGCCTTGCTGTCTTTGTGTTCCTTACAATTAGTAGGCTTTGAATTGTAGCGAGGAGGCGAAGGGACGGCACGGAGATCTGAAGCAGTCCGCATGCCTGTGGGGGCAAACCGGCTCCAGCGACCACAACCCAGCCCTGACAGATCCTCCTCCTGGAAAAATGCTGAACATCTCATTAAAACCGGTGCTAACATTTCTACAGCTGACTGCCACGATCAATCGTGAAAAAGGCCACCGGGGCATGGCTTAATTTGAGATTTTCTTTGTTGACTATGGAGATAATATTGTAAAACCAAATTAATAATAATAAATAAATAAAAAATCAGCCCAGCGAAATACTTCGTGGCTATTTATTATAGGCTATTTCCTCAAGTGATCGTTATGGCAAAGAAAAAGATTTCTAGTCTAATTAAAAAAAAAAAACAATAGGATTTGGTCTTCAGTTAATAATTAAATGTAATATTTTAAAGGAGTGTATTTGGTGGTTAGGCCTACTATTAGCCTATTATTCGCTAATTCCAAATAAATAAATAGTTTTTAGATTGTTTTTTTTTAAGTTAGTAGGACTGAATATTTGATCTTCGTCTTGATTAAAACCACCCCTGACGAACGAAAAATTTAGTCTGGCAAACAGTGTGCTCTGCCTTGCTGTCTTTGTGTTCCTTACAATTAGTAGGCTTTGAATTGTAGCGAGGAGGCGAAGGGACGGCACGGAGATCTGAAGCAGTCCGCATGCCTGTGGGGGCAAACCGGCTCCAGCGACCACAACCCAGCCCTGACAGATCCTCCTCCTGGAAAAATGCTGAACATCTCATTAAAACCGGTGCTAACATTTCTACAGCTGACTGCCACGATCAATCGTGAAAAAGGCCACCGGGGCATGGCTTAATTTGAGATTTTCTTTGTTGACTATGGAGATAATATTGTAAAACCAAATTAATAATAATAAATAAATAAAAAATCAGCCCAGCGAAATACTTCGTGGCTATTTATTATAGGCTATTTCCTCAAGTGATCGGCAATCGTTTCAGTATTCAAAATACACATCCGTAAAAAAAATATGACTGAAGTCTCCATGACACCAGAATAGAATTGCTAGGCCTCCTTGCCATGTTTTGAACACTAAAATGATGCTTAACATATGCTACCTAAAACAAAAAGTAAATCTATTACATAGGCTACGCTATAGGCATATTTTTTATGGTTTTATTTGAAAGCCTATATAAACACCAAGTCATCGTGACGAATATACCCAATAGAAAGCCATGACATAATTATGAGAATATCGTAGTATGTACTAATACGCTTATGCATTTTGTTTAAATCCCTCACCCCCCTCCCAAGCAGACGTTGCGTTCACGCTCAAAACTCACACGCCATCAACTCTAACACTTTGCCTCTCTTCCTATTTCACGTACACAAACACACTATATCCCATGCCATTATATCGAGAGCCTTGTTAAATTCCAACTGAACATTTTCCACTCTATGAATTCACTGCAAACCGTGTATAAATAAGCTTTACTGGACACCCTCAACTGTAACACTCAACAATAATTATACTTCCACCAGGATTAGCTCCATTATCATAATCTGGACATTTACAATTATCTATAATTTGCAAAGATGCGCCTGGATCTTGATTGCAGAAGGTTTTTTTCCCCTAGCTCACCATCACTAAACAGTGACAGTAATAACGGCTAATTTTTGCAGGCAATATATAAGAGGTGTCGGGGTGTGCAAACACTTTCACACCTGGATTTGCTTACTCAACACAAGCGGTACACAGGAGCGTCCGCTTTCACAACGGTATTTTTATTGAAACATTGAAACTAGAGATTTTGATATATGCCAAACAATAAATTTATCGAAGGTAAGTGTTGCTCTATTACCATGTTGTTTTGTTGTTGGCTGATCTGAGTGTCGCTGATGGGTGGGCATTGTTATAATCTGCAGTTTGACTTGTTGGGAAAGCCATGCTATTTTACATGAAAACGTGTGACCCACGAACGCTGGGATGTAGTAAACCGCTCATGATTTATATATCTCTTTCTTTCACTTGCGCACACATATTCTTGTATAATAGTGCTTTCTCACAATTCTTAGGTTAATTCTAAGTATTGTTAGCCTCGTGCATTTCGGTATCCACGGCTGTGTCTGTCTGTCCGTGTCTGTCAGGGGCCCTCTATATGTAGGGGCCCTTAACTCTAACGAACACATTTTGTTTTTATTATTATGCGTATTCAGTTGCGATTCAACCAAATACAATTCAGCTGTAGTATTTTAGGTTGCAAAAAATCTCAGGGTAGGCTATATTTTGAAGACATTACTGTGTGCATCTGAAACCAGTGACAAACGTGTTTTTGACAGTTCCTATTTCAACATATAGCTATGTTATGTTCCTATAAGCAGAGCAAACATTTAAATGAACCATCCCAATCCGTTGATGAGGGAACCTTTTTAGAAAATCAAGCCCCATTCTCTGCGGCTGGGGCATCCACGATTTGACAGCTGCAGGGGCTTCTCGTCTCCCTATTCAACATTGTAATTTTAGATAATATCCCAATCGTTCACTCTCCTCGGCAATTTGTACATGAATAACCGAATAATTTCATCTTTTGTTTCGTCTTTGCCACTTCAAATCCAAATAAAGATGCCTTTTAGTATTAAAAGTGGTAGAAAATTACAGGTAATTATCTTTGACGATAAAAACGCTGTAATCAGCGGGCTACATCAAAAATTACCCTAATTATGTCTGCATTTATGAGAATGGAAAAAAAACCTCTCTTGGATAAAACCCATAAATTGTCCCAAATATCTCCTTCATATTGAACGAGACTGCAGCTGGATGCTTTGTTCAGGATCGATCATGTGGCGAAAGGCATTCAGCGTCTCGCAGATCAAGGCAGAGAGAAAGGGGAAAAACATTTTGTCAATACCTTAATAATTGAGCTAGAGAATGACAAGATGGACAAGATGCAGCTCTATTCTGTAGGAAAAACACTTTCCACCAACCATCAACTCGGGTAAGCTATTTTGTTATTGCTTCAGATAGCTTTCCAGCATGAGAAAAAATTCATAATGTGGTGGTAATTATTTACATTTTACTGTGCAAGTTGTTTATAGGTCCTAATTTTATGTTTTATAAAGGAATTATTTATTCAATGCAGATTATTCCAATAATCAAATTCATAGCTGATTCTAAAAAGCGTGTTTCATATGGTCTCTAAGAGAAAAAAGGCACAACACGTTACTTGAAGTCATGTTTACTCCATTTATGACAAAACATAAGTTTTTAACAACTAAAATCGGACAATATATTTACAATCAAATTGCTTGCTTTTGCATGATCAGAAACATCTACCAAAGAGGTTTGAGTTCGTTTTCAAATGCGACTCAAGCGCGTGATATGACAACGTTTCGCTTCCTATTCCAATTTTAAGTTGGCGATGAGTGTGTTTGATTACAGTCAAACGTAAGAACAGATTTTTAATCAATCCGTTTATGATGCTACTGACAGTTAGTTCCATTGTCGACCTTCACCACATCAAATGTCTTCATCCTTCTAAAGAAATCGTCGCCTTAATAGGCTAGAATAGGTCTCTATTAAGGATGTGAAACCGATGACAATGTGCGTACTAGCGCACGTGAACTGGGCGAAGACAGGATGTCAACATCAAGGCCTCTGGCCTAAAAAGGGCTAGTTGCCTATCTCTGCATGGCGTCCTGATGAGGCGACGAGTACCAGTGTGAGTAACCGGGCATGTAGCTGTTAGCAGACATGTTTACTCCTTTAGAGGAGGCTGAGACGTCCCAGATAGGAGGAATGGCTGGTGAGCGTGGGGACAGGGCGATGGAGCCGGGCAAAGGGTCACTCTCGTGAGGGTTACCGCCTTGTTTCAACAACTTCTTGAACTTGGACCTTTTGTTTTGAAACCATATCTTTACCTGAAAACAAATAAAAAACTTAGGTTGCTAAATTGTTAAGTGAAGGTGGTGTCTAATTTAGTGTAACGTGAGAAAAAAAAGTAGGCTTATTATCTACTTCCAAAACACCATCATTCCAACATTATTAATAACAACACTCTAATATAACACATAACCTAAATGAAAAGCACAGTTCACTGATAATGTAAATGAGTCCACATCTCACCTGTGTCTGTGTGACCCCGAGAGAGGCAGCCAGTTCCGCGCGCTCTGGTAACGCCAGGTATTGAGTCTGCTGGAAACGGTAATTTAATGCCTGGAGCTGCAAACTGGAATAAATCGTCCTCGGTTTTCTGATCTTTTTGCCTTTTCCGTTGAAACGTATTTCTCCATTTTCAATCACTGTTGTTTTCTGCTGTTCTGAAAAGGGTAAATATTGTGGAATGATTCCCGCACATAAATAGAAGTCTGTATAGAATTTTAAAAGCGATTTTTTTGATAAACAAAAATAGTCTGTAATGTTCTTTCAAGCACTCTATAGCATAATTACATTGTCTGTCATATTTAGGAAATTGCATGTAGTGACA